GGCTGACCAATAAACAGCAATGAGCAGAGGAAGCAGAGTATTAGAGAAAGCAGCAGCAGGAAGCTCAGTTCAGAATTGTTGGCTCTTACAACTGGGGTGTTTCTGTAGTAAATGAACACAGCTAAAACTGCAGCTGAAATACATGCTCCTAAGACCGAGATTGTTGTTAATGAGATTCCCAAGGTCTCCTCATATGAAAGAAACTCGATTTCCTTTGGCACACACTGGTCTCTTTTTGAGTTTGACCAGTAATCTGCTGGGCATTTGAAACACTCTACTGAATCTAAAAAAAGGAAAAGATTTGATTTTAGTTATACAATAGAAGAAGAAGAAAAATAATACTGCGACTTTGTATCTTCTTGTTTTAATAACAAGGAATACAAAATATGTGATTCAGAAAAACAGAGGAGAAAAAAGAGAAATGTAACAGGTGTCATGGGTTCCAACTAGTGGTCTTCCAGAAAAAAAAATACTATTATATATTTCATGCGGCATGTACAGTATGTACCAATTATAAATAAAGATCTAAAAAGCTTGCCTGTGTGGTTGCTGATCTCTCCCTCTGCACAAGGCACACAGTCGAAACAGCAGAGGGGCTCCCCTTTCCTGGTTGCCTTCCAGGTACCAGGCTGACAGCTTTCACTGCACACAGACCTGGGGGGCTAACAGAAACAACAGTGTATTCAGATCATGCTGTGAAAATGAATGAAACAGCTTCTCAGTGTATGTCTTGTGATGTTCTTGTGAATAAGTATTTCAATGCTCAAGGTGTTGCTGCTTTCACAGAAAATTATAATTGATTCTACATGTTTGGTAATGTAACATTAGGACTTTTCACGAACTATAGATGCAGTTTTCAGAAAAGGAAATTAGATTTTCTAAGTGATAAAATTAAATGATAATTAATTTTTAATCTCTCCCAGTATATTTTGAAGTGATCTTACCATAGGGCACAATATAAAGTTTCATATAAAGATAATAACTTTATATAATAACTACAATATAAAAATAATAACTTACAGTTTTAGATTCAAAGTTCCAGAAGATTTTGTCTTCATTCAGTGTGAGCTCTTGTCCAGCAGGAGCTGATTCATCATACAGACCGATTGTTACTGTTTTCACAGACCCGTCATCGGCCCTCTGCCAGTTCATCACATCATAGATTGCAAGAGCATCTCCGTTCTCATCGAAGGACACCCTGTCTCCATAGTGAGTAGTGAAGTTCACTCTCGCCAGGTACTGCAGCAGCTGGGAGAAAAATACATGTGGTGAATGAAACACAATCAAACAACTAAGCACAACAGGCTCTTTGAAAAGTTATCTTACATTGTTATTTTTTTTAAAATACTCACCTTAAAATAACACCAAAATACTTAAGAGCAGAATATACAATAAACAGATTTTAATTGTATTATTGATGCAGCCTGATGATAAATAAATGTATATACATAATTTGCATTTTACATATTCAGAGCAAATTCATACATTATAAAAACGTTAGGAAATATGGAACCTATGGAGAATGTTTCAAGAGCCTAAAGCAATAAAACAGTATTATAAAATGTATGTTACCTGCCAGGGCTGCACAGTTGTGATGTCTGCACAGGAGTTATTCTGAAAGGGCCCTTTTCCAGGCTCACAGGAGATCAGATTGTGCAGGGAGTGTGCCAAGGCGTACACTGCTTTATACACAGTATAGGCAGTCCGCAGTTCTGACACATCACTGTATAAAGTCTCTATACTATTAATGTCTTCATATCCTGTACAGATTTTATTCCCATCTTCAGATGAAGAATTATATTTTTGTATGTCTTGTAATTTACAGTCAAACAAGGTTTCCCAGAACAGGTTGATAAAATTGTTTTTAGGGTCAGACACAGGGTGAGCCTGAAGGAGAAATTCTTTCAGCCCTGGGATTTCTCCCCTGCGGATAGCAATTCCTATTGTCCCTCCAAATGAGTGGAAGTTTTCCTCCCTGAGTATTACAGTTGAGGTAGTCCAGGCTTCGCTGGCGATCCACTGCCTGTCGGTGATGTTATGGCGAGCAATTTCTAGAGCCAAAGGAATAAAGTAAGCTCCTTGAGAGAACACAACAATGACTCGCGCTGTGGACTGTTTGATAATTTGCAGAATTTGAAGTACTCTAGCCTTTGAAAGTACACTGTGGAGAGTTTCTGAGAAGGCTATACAACCAAACTTGTTTAC